CAAACCCACGACCTCCTGTATACCAGGCGAGGTAGTTAACATCTCCTAGCCACCGTGATGATGATGAGAGAGAGAGAGACGCAAACTCCAAATATGCAACAGGCGTCAGCATCGCGATGGAACCGACGACCTCCTGTATACCAGGCGAGGTAGTTAACATGTCCTAGCCACCGTGGCGCCCCAAATATTCACCACAACTGCAAGGGGTATTCGGCTATAACTGACGCCGATTTCACTTCATCGATGATCACATTCTCCCGCACCTCCGATTTTCACGGTCGACTACGTACGGTGCGAAATAAGTTTTAACGTACGTACAATACGGGCGTTGTTATGTCCACGCACCAGCCCCAGATGCTCACTGGACGTTGAGCCATCGCAGGGAAGTGCCGAGCACGATGGCAAGTTCAGATTTAATCAGCAACCGATGTTGGCTTTGGGCGTGAGTAGTGGCAGCCCTCACCGCTGCGCCACCACTCCCTTCGCACGCACGCACGCACCCACCGATGACTAATAATGATCACAATTAATAATTTTCGATTTAAAGCTTTCGTAACTGCAGGGATTCATCTTCTTGGTTCTTTCGGTAAAGTCACGTAGACAGACCTGTTCTCCACCTGAGGACGGCTGCTTGCGTTGTGGCCGAAACGTCGTGATAATTTATTTTATTATGTTTTATTTTTATTATTGTATTATTTCCATTCTACGTGACTTTGCCGAACGAACCAAGAACACAATAAATATGCCCCCCTTTTTAAAAAAAACACCGGCTAGTGGTCACGGAGACCCATACAAGTCACGCCGTCACTCAGGGTCCTGCTACGGGGATGCTCGGACAAAATCCATTCGCGTTTGGCCTCCAAGACTCGCTCCCAAAGCTCCGTACGGATGGATTCACGAAACCCATCGCTGTACTGTCATCAAAAACGTGATTTGGGGGGCAAAAACGTGATTTGGGGGCAAAAACGTGATTTGGGGGCAAAAACGTGATTTGGGGGCAAAAACGTGATTTGGGGGCAAAAACGTGATTTGGGGGCAAAAACGTGATTTGGGGGCAAAAACGTGATTTGGGGGCAAAAACGTGATTTGGGGGCAAAAACGTGATTTGGGGGCAAAAACGTGATTTGGGGGCAAAAACGTGATTTGGGGGCAAAAACGTGATTTGGGGGCAAAAACGTGATTTGGGGGCAAAAACGTGATTTGGGGGCAAAAACGTGATTTGGGGGCAAAAACGTGATATGGGGGCAAAAACGTGATTTGGGGGCACGCCTCTGAGTCGCACGGTTGCCTACGTAGGGTGCGAACGAAATTCAACGTGCAAAACAACCTGGCCACGTGACAGGCCAAACCTACGACACCTGGCAAGCCACGAGCGGTCAACTATTCAATGAGGAACCAGCATCAACGCCGCTGAGCTTCTGAAATATAACCCCGTGCTTTGAATGAGGATATATCTCTACACATACCATGCATTACATGATACATGCAGATACCTTTTTAACGACTCCGGACTCGATACATGAAACGCGTACATGGATCTCCAGAGGCAAAGACAAAGATCCCCCGTATAGTCTTTACACAACGTTGGAGCAAGTCGTGTTAGCTAGCACCTATGAAGACAAGGTAAGGCATACGGGATGGTGGGTTGCCAGCACTACGCCCGGCCGCCTTTGTCTCCCCAGTGTTAACGTTTAGACACCGCACCAGGGTACTCTTCTGAGGCTGAGTCGACCTAGGGGAGGCCCATGACCGGTTCAGATAACACTGGGCAACAAAAAAAAATTCTGGCCTGGACTTTTGCAGCTGCTTTAGACTAATTTCAGGGTGCTGATTCCAAATCTGATCTCAGATTTGCTCTATCACATCTCATTTTTATGCTATCGGCATACCCCATTTTCATTGAATTTACCCAAAATTAACTCTGTCACTTATGATTGCAAGTTGTTGCGAGTCAGTGACTGCTTTAGTGTTAAAATACGGTGCTGTATTTTTAGGATGGCGTGTTTATAATATAATTTTATGCAGATATCCACATTTATTTTAAAATGCAATATTTGATATCTCAAAAACTGATGCCAGGTTTGGAATCAGCACCCCAAAATTACCTTAAAACCAGTGTAATCGTCACCGGGATTGGTAGCCGTGAGCACACACACACACGCGCATAACTGTATTCATCTGCCGAGATTTTCCCCTCCTGTCGCATCAGATTTCGCCGTTGGATACTTGATGCAAAAGTGAAGAAATGAGGAATTCAAAGACTCTCTCCAGGTGATGTGCGGAGATCGTGGTCACTGCCTCAGGAGAGAACCACGGGCGTGCCACGTGGAGGAGGAGAACTCACACAGACACCCATATACTCACATAGAGACCCATAGACTCACACAGAAACCCATAGACTCACACAGAGACCCATAGACTCACACAGAGACCCATAGACTCGCACAGAGACCCGTAGACTCACACAGAGACCCATAGACTCGCACAGAGACCCGTAGACTCACACAGAGACCCATAGACTCACACAGAGACCCGTAGACTCAAACAGAGACCCGTAGACTCAAACAGAGACCCATAGACTCAAACAGAGACCCGTATACTCAAACAGAGACCCATAGACTCATACAGAGACCCATAGACTCATACAGAGACCCATAGACTCATACAGAGACCCGTAGACTCAAACAGAGACCCGTAGACTCAAACAGAGACCCATTGACTCAAACAGAGACCCGTAGACTCAAACAGAGACCCATAGACTCATACAGAGACCCATAGACTCAAACAGAGACCCGTAGACTCAAACAGAGACCCATAGACTCACACAGAGACCCATAGACTCACATAGAGACCCATAGACTCACACAGCATAGACTCACACAGAGACCCACAGACTCACACATAGACCCATAGACTCATACAGAGACCCACAGACTCACACAGAGACCCATAGACTCACACAGAGACCCATAGACTCACACAGAGACCCATAGAGTCACACAGCATAGACTCACACAGAGACCCACAGACTCACACAGAGACCCATAGACTCACACGGAGACCTATAGACTCACACAGAAACCCGTAGACTCGCACAAAGACCCATAGACTCACACAGAGACCCATAGACTCACACATAGACCCATAGACTCACACAGAGACCCGTAGACTCACACAAATACCCATAGACTCCAACAGAAACCCATAAACTCACACAGAGACCCATAGATTCACACAGAGACCCATAGATTCACACAGAGAACCACAGACTCACACAGAGACCCATAGACTCACACAAAAACCCATAGACTCACACAGAAACCCATAGACTCACACAGAGACCCATAGACTCACACAGAGACCCATAGGCCCAAACACAGAGATCTATAGACTTGCATACAGAACTACACTTACATAGAGACCTATATACTCACATAGAGATCCATAAACTAACATAGATACACATAAACTCATACAGAGACTCATACTTACATTGAGACCCATATACTGTAAGTTCAAAACAACCCATAGGCTCGCATAGAGGCCCATAGACGTACCCAGAGACCCTTGGGCTCAGACAGATACCTATAGACTCACACAGAGACGCATAGACCCACACAATGACCCATAGACTCACACAGAGACCCATAGACTCACACAGAGACCCATAGACTCACACAGAGACGCATAGACCCACACAATGACCCATAGACTCACACAGAGACCCATAGACTCACACAGAGACGCATAGACTCACACAAAAACCCATAGACTCACACAGAAACCCATAGACTCACACAGAGACCCATAGGCCCAAACACAGAGATCTATAGACTTGCATACAGAACTACACTTACATAGAGACCTATATACTCACATAGAGATCCATAAACTAACATAGATACACATAAACTCATACAGAGACTCGTACTTACATTGAGACCCATATACTGTAAGTTCAAAACAACCCATAGGCTCGCATAGCGGCCCATAGACGTACCCAGAGACCCTTAGGCTCAGACAGATACCTATAGACTCACACAGAGACCCATATACTCACACAGAGACCCATAGACTCACACAGAGACCCATAGACTCACACAGAGACCCATAGACTCATACGGAGATCCATATACTCGCGCAGAGACCCATAGACTCACACAGAGACCCATAGACTCACACAGAGACCCATAGACTCATACAGAGACCGAAGACTCACACAGAAACCCATAGACTCACACAGAAACCCATAGGCCCAAACACAGATATCTATAGACTTGCATACAAAACTACACTCACATAGATACCCATAAACTCATACAGAGGCTCATACTTACATTGAGATCCATATATGTGCATAACAACCCAGAGGCTCGCATAGAGGCGCATAGCCCCACCCAGAGACCCTTAGGCTCAGACAGATACCTATAGACTCACACAGAGACACATATACCCACACAATGACCCATAGACTCACACAGATACCTATAGACTCACACAGAGACCCAAAGACTCACACAGAGACACATGACTCACACAGAGACCCCTAGACTCACACAGAGACCCATAGACTCACACCGAGACCCACAGACTCACACCGAGACCCACAGACTCACGCAGAGACCCACAGACTCACAAAGAGACCCATATACTCACACAGAAACCCACATACTCACACAGAGACCCATATACTCACACAGAGACCCATATACTCACACCGAGACCCATATACTCACACAGAAACCCACAGACTCACACAGAAACCCACAGACTCACACCGAGACGCACAGACTCACACACAGATATCTGTACTGGAGGTGCCTTCGTCACTAGCAGCGATGGTCCACCACTCCTCCAGTCCTCACGCAATCACAGGGCTCATGGGCCACCTGAACATCACATCACAGCGGTGTCAACCTCAGCAGCAGCAGCAGCAGCAAATCACTGCGACTAAGACTCAACTTTACATTCACCCACCCCACCACCGTATCCCCACTCACCTCTCTCGTACCGTGTGTGGTCCGTTCACTGTTGGTGAAGTCGCCTCTCCTCCTCACCGTCAGTCTCGCTCTCTCGCTGGCGTCCCCACAGAGAAGAGCGCAAACAGCTGAAGGAGACGCGCTCGCAGTACGAAGTCAGACCTCTCTTCTCGTCACCACACCGGGAGTTGCCAGCTCGTCCATGGCTCCATCACCCCCCACACACACAACCCGAGACTCTCTCCCGCCTCTCGCCGCTTCTCCAACGACAGCGTCGACTCCGAGGTCGCACGCGCCGAGATGTGCTGTGCTGTGTTGATAGCTGGCTCTGGTTAGATGGCTGCCTATTCCTGTCCAGCGGAATTTGAAGTCGAAAAGCCCCGGGCGAGGCTGCTATCCGTGTCGCTCGATGGCCAACGGCACTTGAAGTCGTGTTGCTTTACAGATGAGACGAAAGTCCGCCCGGTGTAGCCTCTGCCAGGCTTGTGTTGTTGTTGTTGTTGCTGTTGTTGTTGGGGGTAGTCGCTTTGCTTGCGAGCAGCAACAACAGCGGCAGCGGCACGGGTGAAGAAAGGCCGGCAGGTTACTGTGGTGGCACGGCGAGCAAGCGGAGCGGTGTCACTCAGCAACCACGCCCGGGTCGCTTCTAGTGTCGATGTTTACAACTTCGCACCAGGTACACTCACTTGAGGCTGAGTCGACCTAGGGGAGGGGTGGGGTAGGGTGGTGGGGGTGGGGAGGGCGGGCAGGTGAGGGAGGACCCATGTGACCGCTTCGTGATAATCGTCACTCGCTGTGTGTGCGCGCGTGTCCGTGAGCGGGGATCGAACGCGCGTGGCCGGATTCAGAGCGCAGCGTTCAGTCACTGCTCCCCACCACGCACACAACACGCAGTCACATGCAAAGATCACCCGTGTAGCCTTGAGAGACTGTAGGGGCAAGTGCCGTCAGCGAGCGACTTTGAGGGGCTTCACGGCACGCGAGAGGGCGAGTGGCCAACACCACACCCGGCCGCCTTTGTCTCCCCAGTGGCGATGTTTCCACCTCCGCAACAGGTACTCATTTGAGGCCGATTCGACCTACGGGAGGCCCAGGACCGGTTCAGACAATCGTCACCGGGTGTTGTTGGCCGTGGGTGGGAATCGAACCCGCGTGGCCGGGTTCGTAGCGCGGCGCGGCGCTAACCGCTGCGCCACCGCTCCTCACTACAGCAAGCAGTCTCCGGCACGGTGAAAGCTGCTGGAGTGACACTCAGTCACTCACTCGTCGAGTGGTGAACAGTGGCCGGATTAAGCTAATGCGGGGGCTGTCGCATATGTTATAAAAGGGCCCTAGTAAAATAAACACGTAAATATTAAAACGCGTACATGTTTAATTTGCATAGTAAAGCAATTGTAATTTTTTTATTCTCTGTACAGCCGGATAATACGGCAAATCGCTAACCTTAAACACCCGGTCGTTCGTAAAAGTTTAAGGCAGTATAGTACTACAGTAATAGAGCAAGTGCAGAATCACTTAACCGGAATTGATAGCTTGAAAGCATTTAGAGCGGGGCCTTTGAAAGTGCGGGGCCCGTAGCGTTTGTAGCTACTAAACATGTAGCTACTACTAATGTAGCTACTACTACACATGCAGTTACTACACATGTAGCTACTACACGTGTAGCTACAACACGTGTAGCTACTACACGTGTTGTAGCTACTACACTAACGTGTAGTAACTACACCTGCATGTGTAGTAGCTACTACACGTGTAGTAGCTACATGTGTAGTAGCTACTAGTAGTAGCTACTACACATGCAAATACAACACATGTAGCTACTACACGTGCAAAGAGTATGTGGTTCATTGCAGTCACGAAAACTTCAGATCTAGATAGTTACACGTTGCGCGTATGGTCTGTTCGGGGATGACCGCAGTCGCCACACCGATACCGGAGGATTTTCGTTTTTTTATTTGTACCGATTTGTCCATCATCATCAGGTGTCTCGATCTGCCGCTGCTGCTGCTGCTGCTGTTTGTGCAGTTGATGCGGGTCGGAGTGGACCGAGAGCAAGATCGTGGGATCTTCTGTACGTTGGATCTTAAGAGTAACTGATTGGGTACATGCGCGGGTATTGTTGGGAGCGGTGGGAGTTGAATGGAGGTGATTTGCGTGTGGTGCATCAGCCAGTCATCTCGGTCATCTCGGTCAGTCGACCGGTGGCACCTGCTGGGTCTGCCCCGTGACCTCCTGCCAGCGGGCGTTCGACACTTCACGTGGTGGCCTCAAGGTGCACTTGGCCTGGCACAAGCGTCGTGGTGACGTCACCGCCACTTAGTGGCGAATGGCGGTTGTTGTTGTGTGTGTGTGTCTCTGTGTGTGTTCATCTGGGGAGCGGTAGTGTAGTGGTCAGCTGCGCTGCGCGACACATCGGGTGACCCCGAGTCTCGATTCCCGCTCACGGCCAACATCAGTGACGATTTTTCTGAATAGGTCCTGGGCCTCCCCTAGGTCGACTTAGCCGTCAAATGAGTACCTGGTGCCGTGTGTAAACATCGCGACTAGGGAGACAAAGGCGGCCGGGCGTGGTGCTGGCCACCCACCCCCTCGTGTGCTGTGCCGGCCTTCATAGGTGCTCGCTAACAGCACTTGCCCCACCAGCCTGCGAAGGCTACACGGGGGATCTTTGTCTTTGTGTTAGTCTCTCCGTCTCTTTCGGGGATCGATGACGAATTCTCTGAACCTGTCCTGGGCCCCTTACCTTTAGGTAGACTCGGCCTTAAGACGAGTTAGCCGGGGCGATGCGTAAACATCGGCATTGGGGGACCGCACCACCCACCCACCCACCCTCTCGTTTGCTACTCGCTGACAGCACTTGTCCCCAACAGCTCGGTAAGGGGCTATACGGGGCATCTTTGTCTTTGCTTTATTTCTCTCTCTCTCGTTCTCGCTGCCAGAGGTGGGGTTTTGGCGATGGTGACTAAAGTTTCTAACCAGCAGAAGAATATATATACCGTCTGTAAATATAAATATGCATGCGCCTGTGTGTGTGTGTGTGTCAAGGGTTCGCCCACCCGTGCCGCGATGACGTCAGCTGCGTTAAACGATGAGACGAAGCCCCGCCCCCTTCACCCCCCGCCCCCTTCACCCCCACCCCATCCTAATATCGAGCCCCCCCCCCCCTCGCTCCTCACCCCCTCCCCCTTCACCCCCACCCTCGTATCGAACCCAGCCCCCCCTCTCGCTCCTCACCCCTCCCCCTTCACCACCACCACCCCACCCTCGTATCGAACCCAGCCCCCCCTCTCGCTCTTCACCCCTCCCCCTTCACCACCACCACCCCACCCTCGTAGCAACCCCAGGCCCCCCATTCTTTCCTACCGTGTACAGATGAACAAGGGCAGTCGCCACTGCGACGAGACCGCTTGCTGGTGTCACCACCTTAGCGGTGATCGGTTTGATAACAAATGAACGAAACTCTCCACGATACAGGGTTCTTATTATTTTTTTTGGGGAGAGGATAGTGTGTGGTGGTGGTGGTGGTGGTTAGATCGCGTAAATAAATAAATGTGGTGTCGTCTAACCCGCCACTTAGCAAAGGTTTGTCACGTAAACCGAACGCGCCAATTCGGTTACCGGTTTCAGCACCGTCGGCTGTGTGTTGGAGATCAACGCCACAGCATTTGCAATTCGAGTACGACGTTTCGCTGGCGATTTCGACCGGCATCAGCAGCAGGCGACAGACACATTTGGCTGCCGCCCACAGAGCTGTGTAAGCTCTTTGTTCAGACGGGACCTGACGATCACACACCAAGTGGGCTTATTACCATCACGTGGACATTTACAGCGGCCGAACACTCGAAACGCGTGGCGATGTTGATTCTAAATCCACGCGACCACGGGGAGAGAGAGAGAGAGAGCGAGACACGCAAACTTCAAATATACAGCAGCAGGCGTCAGGGTCGGGATGGAACCCACGACCTCCTGTACACCGGGCGAGGGAGTTAACATCTCACCACGGGGAGATAGATAGAGAGACACGCAAACTCCAAATATACAGCAGCAGGCGTCAGGGTCTGGATAAAACCCACGATCTCCTGTACACCGGGCGAGGTAGTTAACATCTCACCACGGAGAGAGAGAGAGACACGCAGACTCCAAATATACAGCAGCCGGCGTCAGGGTCTGGATCGAACGCACGACCTCCTGTATACCAGGCGAGGTAGTTAACATCTCACCACGGGGAAAGAGAGAGAGACACGCATACTCCAAATATACAGCAGCAAGCGTCAGGGTCTGGATAAAACCCACGATCTCCTGTACACCGGGCGAGGGAGTTAACATCTCACCACGGGGAGAGAGACACACACAAACTCCAAATATACAGCAGCAAGCGTCAGGGTCACGATGGAACCCACGACCTCATGTATACCAGGCGAGGTAGCTAACATCTCACTACGGGGAGAGAGAGACACGTAAACTTCAAATACACAGCAGGCATCGTCAGGGTCGGGATCGAACGCACGACCTCCTGTACACCGGGCGAGGTAGTTAACATCTCACCAGTGCGCGCCACCCCAAAGCAGATTCCACGTCCACAGTTTCCTTAACGCCAATAAAATGGGGCTGAGCGTTTATGACCGAACCTTTGCACGCTTCGGCACAAACACGACGCGTAACCGAAGTCCGTACGCTTCGTGACTTACTGATAATTAATCGTCTTGGAACAAGGAGGCTTGACGTGGCTCGGAGGCTCCCTGCCAATGCCGGGTCTCAGCCACTGCTCTGGGATTGAACCCAGGTGCTCAGGTGCGAAGCGAGTTGATGGTGTCAGCCGGGACACCACTGCCTGACAGATAGACCCGCAGAATCGCATAGAGACACGCAGACTCGCATAGAGACCTGTAGACTCGCATAGAGACCTGTAGACTCGCATAGAGACACGCAGACTCGCATAGAGACCCATAGACTCACACAGATACCCATAGATTCGCATGGAGACACGCAGACTCGCATAGAGACCCATAGACTCACACAGATACCCATAGATTCGCATGGACACACGCAGACTCGCATAGAGACCCATAGACTCGCATAGAGACCCATTGACTCGCATAGAGACACGCAGACTCGCATAGAAACCCGTAGACTCACACAGAGACCCATAGACTCGCATGGAGACACGCAGACTCGCATAGAGACCCATAGACTCACATAGAGACATAGAGACCCGTAGACTCACATAGAGACCCGCAGACTCACATAGAGACCTGTAAACTCACATATAGACCCGTAGATTCACACAGAGACCCGTAGACTCACATAGAGACTTAGAGACTCGCATAGAGACATATAGACTCGTAAACTCACACAGAGACCCATAGACTCACATAGAGACTTATAGACTCACATAGAGACCCATAGACTCACATAGAGACATATAGACTCATATAGAGATCGGTAGACTCACATAGAGACCCGTAGACTCACATAGAGACCCATAGACTCACATAGAGACCCATAGACTCACACAGAGATCGGTAGACTCACATAGAGACCCGTAGACTCACACAGAGACCTGTAGACTCACATATAGACTTATATACTCGCATAGAGACCCATAGACTCACATAGACACTCGTAGACTCACACAGAGACCCAAAGACTCGCATAGAGACCCATAGACTCACATAGACACTCGTAGACTCACACAGAGACTCGTAGACTCACACAGAGACCCATAGACTCACATAGAGACCCGTAGACTCACACAGAGACCCGTAGACTCGTATAGAGACCCTTAGACTCGCATTGAGTTCCATAGACTCGCATAGAGACATGGACTCGCATTGCAGTCCATTGACTCATAATGAGACCTATGAACTCACTTATATCGAGTTGCGATTAAACCGGGGTTTTAAGTTCAGTGGCTGTCTAACTGCCTATTTATTTTTCAATCTGTGTAATACATGCGTACATGGACGTAGCCATGGAGTCAACATTGGGGGGGTGACCAAATCTTCCAGGGGGTCTGGGGGTCCCCCCCCAGAAAAAAATCTAAATTTGAAAACGA